TGCAGTCAAAACCCTAAAAATGACCATTTTGCCCTTTTAGTGATCTGATCAAATTTCTTGTGGAATTGTGATCCAAACTTGATCAAATGGTTCATAGGAGTTTATAATGTTTATGTGGGTCAATTTTCATGAGGTTTGACTGTCAATTGGCCACAGTTGACTTTTTCCCCAATACAGCTGATTTCTAGGTCAACTGTCCAGTTGACTGGGCAAAACTTGGAATCAAGACTTGAAACTTGATATGGATAAACTTGGGAGTCCAATATGAAGCATGAAAGTCATCTTAGGCATTTTAGGTCAAAACATCTTTGTGCAAACACAAACCCTAATTTGGGTCAACAGTGCAAGGAGAAGTCTTGAGCAGATGAAACCCTAATTGGATCTTGATCTTCAAAGGCTTTGTGATGAGAAATCATTGAGAAATGGGAGGGAAAATTTTGGGGTACAACAGTTGGCAGAATTGTATGTTGAGAAGATTGTGAGTTTGCACGGTATTCCTTCTAGTATTGTGTCGGATCGAGATCCGAGGTTTACATCTAAATTCTGGACGGGATTGCAAGAAGCTTTGGGTACTAAGTTACGTTTGAATTCCGCTTATCATCCACAGACAGATGGTCAGACGGAGAGAACGATTCAGTCGTTGGAAGATTTGTTAAGAGCTTGTGTGTTGGAGAAAGGTGGAGCTTGGGATAATTATCTACCATTGATTAAGTTTACCTACAACAATAGTTTTCATTCGAGCATTGGTATGGTTCCGTTTGAGGCATTGTATGGTAGGAGGTGTCGGACACCGTTGTGTTGGTATGAATCTGGAGAGAGTGTTGTGATTGGACCGGAAATTGTCCAACAGACTTCGGAAAAGATTAAGATGATTCAGGAGAAGATGAGGACTTCTCAGAGTCGTCAGAAAAGTTATCACGATAAGAGGAGGAAAGATCTTGAGTTTAGTGAAGGAGAACATGTTTTTATGCGAGTTACTCTGATGACTGGTATTGGTCGAGCTTTGAAGTCAAAGAAGTTGACTCCACGTTTATTGGTCCGTTTCAGATTACCAAGAGAGTTGGGAAAGTTGCTTATCAGATTGCTTTGCCGCCGTCACTTGCAAATTTGCATGATGTTTTTCATGTATCTCAGCTAAGGAAGTACATTGTTGATCCGTCTCATGAGATTCGGGTAGACGATATACAGGTACAAGAGAATTTGACTGTGGAAGCGGGTACCTGCGAGAATTGAGGATCGGAAGTTGAAACAGTTGCGAGGAAAGGATATCGCGTTGGTAAGAGTGGCTTGGGGAGGACCAGAAGATGGAAATGTCACTTGGGAGCTGGAGAGTCAGATGAAGGACTCGTATCCCGAACTGTTCGTCTAAGGTATGTTTTCGAGGACGAAAACTCTTTTAGTAGGGGAGAGTTGTGACACCCCAAATTAATTCAAGTGTTAAATAATTAGGAATTTAATTATTAAATTAATTAAAGGCTTAGTTAATAATATTTTGGATTAAATGGATGAATTAATTATGGAATTAAAAAGGAAGACCGGGGGGTGTAAGGTTGAATTAGAGGTGTATGAAGTAAAAAGCTCTACTAAATAATAACTAATTTATTACTATTATTTGGCAGATAATAAAAGGAATATAAAAAGGAGGATAAAAAGGAAAAGAAAAAGAAGGTTATTTGGAAAAGTCATTATACGTGAAATTGGAGAAGAGAAGAGAAGAGAGGAAAAAGCCAAACGCCGTGAATTCGAAGGATCATCGCGAGGTAAGGGGTGATTTCGATTAGTTAATTCGTATTACCGGTTTAGATATTCAATAGTATGGATCATAGTATGTTAGGGAATCTCGGTTTGGAATTCTAGGGTTCCGTAGAATTGTCCCTATTGCGTCCAATTGTAGGTTGAAAACCATTAGGGTGTCAGATGATAAAAAGGAATGATGAAATAATGTTGTTTGATGTTATAATGGTGCAAAATGGATGTGTTTTGGTGTTTCTCATGTTGCAATTCGTATGGGTATGTTTGGAATTGGTTTAGAATGAATAAATGCTGTCAAAAGTGCAGAATTTGACTCTGCAGGTCGTGGGAACCGGTTCTCAGTGGGGAGGAACCGGGTTCCACTGTGTGAATTTATAAAAACTGGCAAAAATGCACGTAGGAACCGGTTCCTGTATAGGTAAGAACCGGGTTCCCATACATTTTCCAGAAGCGTGATTTTTGAACTTCGCAGGAACCGGTTCCTGCATATGTAGGAACCGGGTTCTGCTGTAACTTTTTGTAAAATATTAAACTTTGAAAATTCATAACTTTCAAACCGTAAGTTCGTTTTGAGTGCCGTTTTGGATGTTATTTCTTAAATTTAATGTTCTATTTTATAAAATGAAAATATTTCCTAAAACCTGAAATTATTTTGAAAATGAGTCAAATCCCGGAATAAGTGATTATTGGCTAACGCACATGGGTGTGTATGTAGCAGTGAACTTGTGATGGATGGATGTATTAGTATTGTGTGAATGAAAGGTATGTTTATGTTGCTAATGATGGTGTGCATGATCGTTGAGATATCATGTTTTTAGTTTTGGTTCAGTTATGATAAATTGATGTATTTCATAGACTGATTTGATGTTGCATGCTGGTGATGTGCGTGCATATGCATTGTTTTGGTGAAGTTAATTCCCATTGTGTGGAATTTGACTTGTATTGCCGTTAACCGATACCCGGGTGATGATGGGTGGTTAGGCTGGATTCGTGTCCGGGTGTTTATGGATGAATTGATGGTTGTTGTATCCGGTTGATGATGGATCAGTGTTGGGTGACTTGGTCACGTGTTGGTACCACATGCATTGTGTCTGCATTTGTGTTTGCATGAAATTGTAACATGTTAGGATGTCTTCCAGTGTTACAAATCTTTTGTTGATTATTGATTGGTGCATAATGACTTGTATGATTGGAACTGCGTGTTGAATCTGAATTTATGCTAAAATGGGTGAAATAATATGCTTGTGATATAATGTTGATTGAGAAGCTTATAATGCATGTTAATTATGAGAAATCTCACCCTTACTTTAACAATTTCAGATTAAAGTTAGCAGCTCAGGAGTTGGTGAGGATGGCTCTAGAGCTATGTTACTTTAAGTCCGCGTGTCAGTGTCGTGCTCTGATAGGTTGTAACACTGGGGAACGTTTAGTTGAGAAATTAGTTATTATTCAATTGTTTCTTTGAATTTCATTGGGAAAAATTATGTTTTGGTTTATTCCGTTTTGGTTATGGTATTTTTCCGCTGTGTAAGACATGGTCTTAAGTTGATTGAATTATTTGAATAATGACCCTCAGTGTAGCATGACTACTGTTTTATTGGAAGTTTTATTTATTTCATAATTGTGACATCCCTTGTTCCGTGTTAACTCTGATGGAATATGTCTTTAATCATTGATATAATTAATATTATTCGGGGTATTTTAGAAGGGGTGTTACAATGATCCTATGTTTGTCCCTTCACATCCAATAGATAAGGCTACCTACCAACTAATGGTACATATAGTAATATCTCTAACGGAGAAGGAAAATAACAAGAACGACCTTTAGTGGGTAAGACTCAACAAACTGCTTGCTCGCAACCTTTTTCAAAATAAATAAAACATTTTACACATCACATTTCAAACAGATATTTTCAAACAAACACTTTGTACGTATTCTTGAGGACGAATACAAGAATCATTACAAAGTCTGCCTCACAATTGGAATTCAAAATATTTTCAAACAATCAGACATACACACAAAGCAAATTTTTTCAAAGTGAGTTAAGAAATTAAGAGTCCAAAAGGGTGTTAATATCTTCCCTTTTCATAACTTACCCCCCAAACTCAAAATGTATCAAAGGTTTTTCCTGTTTTTTTTCACCATTTCCTTGTTGGATAAAAGAAAAATCGGTGGCGACTCTTATTAACCGCAACATTTGTGATAAAATGCTAAAAAAGTCAGTTCTCCCACTGTATTACACATTCTCAAGAGGCTTAAAAGATTGAATCAGGATTTTTCTTCTGTTGTGATACTGGTTAAGTGGTTAAAGTTTCTCTTGGGATTTTATCGAGTTAAGGTGTTTCATAGTGCTCGAGCTCTAGGTTAAGATCTCATCCACCTTTCGAATAGGATTTTGTGGTCGCTTGGATTTATGATTCAATTGAGGATTGAGGTTCGTTAACCGAACATAGCACAAAAGGATAAGGTTGTGATTTCTTTGAGGACAAAGTCATGTTGCATATTCGACCAATTGTTGCTTGTGAATTGATGTAGTTTCATTATGAGGAAGTATTCATTCGAGCATGCAATTTCCAAACAATTCAAAAAGCATGATTCAAGTCCTAGATTCATTTAGGTGAATTATTCTGAATTCAAGCTAAGAAAGGCAAGAGAATTCTTCATTTTTAAAAAAAGAGAGAAGAAAGCTCATGTTTTCCAAGAGAAGTCCCTTTTATTCAAGAGGCAAGTTCAACTTCATTCAATTCACAAGACATTATTCAAAGTTTGATTTCAATTCCAATCTCATTCGATCATGACCAAATTGTGCAAAATTCCTTTACAGTTCTTTTTGTTAATTCAAGACTCGTGATTTCAAATTCATTTTGCAAGTCTACAGGAAATAAAGGTCTTTTAACATATATGTCAAGCTCAAAACTTTAAGTGTCATTCAAGTTCATGATACAAAATACAAGGATCCAATAATTCTGAGGGTTTTGCATTTATAATTCATACAATTCAAAGACAATTTGAAGAGCATATTACAAGACCTGAAATTGAATTACATGAAAATCAAGTTCATAAATTCTAAGCCTAAACTCTATCTCCATGTTCCAATCAAGTTTCATGTCTTGCAAAACTTTCCCAAGCTTACCCAAAATTTGTCAATAAACATGTTCAAACTCCAGGCCATACTTCATGTGAAATTAGCTTATTAAAATGGCTCTAAAGTTGTAGCAGTCCTGCTCAAATATCAGTTGAAAACCTGATGCAAGCATGCTTGAATGTCTACATTTATACAAGGAAAATCAATTCAAAAATATGTAAAACAGAAAAACAAATGAAATTAGCCGTAAACTACGACAGAAAATACAATTCCATGCCTTTCAATACCAAACACATTTTCGATTAGTCAAATGCCTGCACCAGATGCTATGGTTTTGTACGGTGGCAAAAATTGGTGGAAAGGAAGAGGGTGAGGTCGTGGACACGATGGTGTCAAAGTACAAGATAAAGCTAGCAAGGTTGCGCGGCGCTGAGAGATCAGAGAAAAAGAAGAGAGGATTTTATGGCTGCGGTTGAACGTTCGAACGAAGAAGCTGAAAAGGAACAACAAGTTCGAACCCTAACTCTCTTCTAAACGGCATTGTTGAATCATTTTCCAATATAATTTATTATTTAATAAACTGGATAAAAACTGAGCAATAATTGTGGTGGAGTTGGGTTGAACTTGTACGGGCCTGAAACCAAATGGCATAATCCCTTGGCCCATTATCATTTTTTAATACAACAAGCCTTATGACAAAAAAAGCAGCTTATGGACCTTAAATCAGATGGGCCTTGCACCTATTTTACTGGACCACACACCTTGTATCCTTTTTGGCACCCCTTTTGTGTAGAATGCTGATTGTTTTCTATTAATTTTTTCTTTCCATTAATTTTGATAATTTTTTATGATAAAAATGATGCAAAAATAGTAGAATACTTTAGGATTCTTTAAGATTTCTCTTTAGAATTTTAATTAGAGTGCTCTATTATCTTTTTCATGATTGGTAATCATTTGTTGCTATTTTTTTGTTAAGAGTTTGTGATGGTATTGGTGCAACTTTTGTGATGTGGAATGCTTGGAGATTAACTCGTTTGATCGCTGATGTGAAACAGCTTCTGTAGAGTTTTCTCTTTGCTTACATGGTTTTGAAGAGACAACAGACCTCCTCTGTGAGCTCACGCGAAGTATTATGGGTCTCTTTGCTTTGGTTGTACTTTATGCGGACATTGTTGTTCGTTTGGTATTATATTGTTTCTAATTTATTTTTCTGCATTTTATTGCTTTATAAATATCATGAGAAGTAGGATAATAAAGAACATGTGCTCGAAGTCGATGTTTAAAGATCTATAGCAGGCATTTTGCACTTGTCTGCTAATTGTGTTTGTGTTTATTTTCATGGGTTGACGATTGATAATGTCACTTAATTAGGATTGAGATAATGACTTCGATCTTTGCATGCTCCCCTTAGGATTTCCATTTTCCTTTGTTGACGATCGATGATGTCACTCAATTAGAATTGAGATAACGACTTCGATCTTTGCATGCTCCCCTTAGGATTTTCATTTTTCTTTGTTGATGATCGATGATGTCACACAATTAGGATTGAGATAACGACTTCGATCTTTGTATGTTCCCCTTAGGATTTTCATTTCCTTTGTTGACGATCGATGATGTCACTCAATTAGAATTGAGATAACAAATTCGATGTTTGCATGCTCCCCTTAGGATTTTCATTTTCCTTGGTTGATGATTGATGATGTCACTCAATTATAATTGAGATAACGACTTCGATCTTTACATGTTCCTTTAGGGTCGCTCAATTAGGGTAGCTTCTGAGTTAGACATTAGGATAGTTATCCATGCATGCTAACATAGGGTAGATATTTCTCTTTCCATCCTTGACATAGGGCTATCATTGTATTATGATACTAGGTTAGAGATAGGTTAGTCTCCCTTAGATGTTTTCTTCCCATTTTGCATAATTGCATTTAAAACTAAAACTTCTTTTCTTGTTAAATGTATAAAACATTCTAAACACACAAAAATCCTTTTCATGGTAAAAAATACCAACCAATTCATTTCTTTTCACCATTCGGATTTTCTCTTCTAAGAACATGTTGATTCCTTTCCACTACAGTGCATGAGTCTCCAATGGTCGAGCGGCGGTGGAATGATTGAATTTGACATTGTTCATTTAAAAATATAAACAAAAGAAAATTTGTGAGTCGAACTATGACACTCTGATTCCTTAAAAGGGATACGTAGGCATCTGGTCATGGAGCTCAGCCGAGCGAAAACTTATAAATATTTCCTTTTGTTACCCTTTTTCTTTGCATGTATTCCCTCTTTGCATTTTTATTTTAGCTCTTAAGCATTAGATTGAACACACCCTTTGATTAGAATAACAAGAGTGGATATCATAGATTACTACAGACGTGAGGGGTGCTAATACCTTCTCCTTGCATAATTGACTCTCGTATCCGATCTCTCGGTTGCAAGACATTGATTTCTCCCTTCAGGTTTTTCTTCGACGATTTTCCTTTCCCTTTATGACCCAAAAAATTATGATATTTGCAAAAACCTATTTTTTGTTTTTTCTCTAATGGTGGATCCTTAGTGCCTGAGGGAACTATAATCTGACCATATGAAACTAAAACATCAAATATTTCATCATATTTTGACACATCAAAAGTATATGTTTTAGTATTAGTGTTATCATTTTTTGGATCTTCAACCGTCTTTCTCTTAGACGGTCTTATAGGTTTATATGCATATGGAGGCCCACTTTCAATTCGGCCACGTTAGCCTCTCCTTCTTCCATGTATTCGTCCTCGGACTCTATAGAATAATCCTCTGTGTCTACATAGGCAATTTTGCCTTTTTTATGGTCCTTTGACACTCTAGCTTTCTCTATTTCTAAACATTCGATATATCCAACCTTATCAGCTAGTTGGGACATATCCGTAATATTTTGAGGATCCAAATTTTTACTAATAGAATAATCTAACCCCCTAGTGGCCATTTCGACCAGCTTATATTCAGGAACCCTAGTAAAGCATCTAGACTTTAAGACCCTAAACCTATTTAAATACTCTTCCATTGACTCATACGACCTTCTCTTGATGGAGGATAATTCTTTCAAACTTATCTTAGGCTGACCAACATAAAATTGCTCATGAAATATACCCTCAAATTGTTCCCAAGTGCGTATAGAGTTTGAAGTCAACGTCGTAAACTAAGTAAAAGAATTCTCCGTCAATGAATTAAGAAAATATATTAATTTTAATCCCTCATCATTGGCGATATCGTCAACTTCTGTTTCATACCTAGCAATGTGTTCAGTGGTCGACTCATTGGCCTCACCAGCAAACTTGGTAAACTTAGGTACCTTATATCCCCTAGGTAATTTTGCCTGTCGAATGTAATCAGGTAAGGGCGAAGAGTAATTGGGCCTCCGGAGACCAACATTTACTCCAGATCATGTTAATACTTCTTCTACCACATTTACCATGTTGTTACGTCCAACAGTGGAATTTCTTAACACTCGATCAACCTCTTGGTTTCTCGTAACTACGACTAGCCTAGATTCATATTGTTCAATGAATTCTTCCTCTTCATAAGTGGGTTCTTCCACTGTTCGAGGTCTAAAAGGACTCTCATTGTTGCCCCCTCTAGTTCTTCAAAAATTCTCAATGGCTTGTAGCGCGTTTGAGTTTGAGTTGGTTAGAACCCTAATGAGTCTATCAATCTACCTATTTGGTCAACTACATGATTGAGGGTGACTCCCATTTGTTGAGTTAAAATGTTTATTAACTCTAAGTTATTATCATCCATATGTTGCCTTAAAGTCATAATGGATTTAGTATTCAGAGATGGTGTCAACTGCGGGACATAACTAACACCTCCTAGTCGACCACTTGGGGCATAACTGTCTTAGTTTCCAGTGGTCACTGTGTTTTCTGTATATGTGGCAGGGTTCGACTATAACCCAACCATCATGGAATAAGGCATACCATATTGGTGAGGGGCAAATGATGACCATGGACTCCTTGGAAAGAGTGGTCGATTTGGGTCAAATGGTGATACCCCATGCATAGGTTCTGTCTTTGTGACTGTTGTCGCTGAACCATGAATTACGGTCGATCTTATGGGAGATAAAACTGTCGCATTTTGAGTTGTGGTACTTACTGGTATGACATCCACATTTTGTATAGAAATTTGCGTTTGTGCAGTGTTTGTGTCAGAGCGTGGCATTTTAGACTTAGACAAAAGTTTACTACTTCTCAAATTCATACACACTAACTATAAGAAACTTTGTGAAACTACACACAAAATGCAAAAATATTAGCACTGTCTCACAAGGTGTGCCAATTTGTTTCCCTCCGGATTTGGTAAACAATGTTGGTATCTTTAAAACAAGTTTACTGGCGAGATCGACCATGAAATCTCAATACAACACTTCAATTCGTGTTCGCGTGCGTAGTTAAAGCGTTTTAAAAAAAGGTGCATTCGACTAAGAGCCAAATGACTTCATAAAAGACAAAGTGAATAAGACAAAAAAGCGTTTTAAATTGTAAAAGGTAATGACATAACTTTAAAGAAAGGTTGAAAATAGGTTGGTTCAAATGTACGTTGCCTTTGCCTGACTCATTTCGCTCATTCGCTTGGTTATTCCGAGTGACTAGCGTGCAGGAATGTGAAAGTTTGACCCTTTACAAAGTGCACTAAGTACTTTATTTATAATGCACATAAATAACTAGTTTTTAAGTGGGTTTCGTTTCTTTCCATGCCACGTGTCCCTTGTAACTTCTCCTCACGAAACCACGTCCTCTATTCTCACTGTTGAACCCACGTTCTCTATTGTAACTTCTCTTTATGAACCCACGTTCATCACTATTGAAATTCTGGCACAACATACTCAAATGTCCTACAAGGATGTCGATACATCTTATCAGACATAAATACACAGGTAAGATAAAACAGTACAAAAAATATAAAGAACACACCAGAATTGTTTACCCAGTTCAGTGTACAACAAAACCTACTCTGGGGGCTACCAAGCTAGGAATGAAGTCCACTATCAGTAATATCAATTTGCAGACCCTACAGCCAACACACCCATTGACGATTTATGCACTTAATCATTACCCAATGACCCTTATACCTAGGTCTCCCCTAGATATGGAATATCCCCATCCCACTTCCAATCATCACAATGATATCTAGCAATCAACATCTCAGTCACTGCATAGACGGCCCTTCACCAAGATTCTGATCATACAGATAAACAGTTTGGAAGACATATTTCCATGACAACCTATCTAAGTCTCTAAGCCAAACTCAACTTTTTGTTAGATTTGCTCCTAACACATCCTGGAGTTGCTTTAAAGCTTCCTCCAGGAACAATGCATCTCTTACCTACAGGCTTTGAGATGAACATGGTAACCTTCCCACAACCAGGGAGGTATACCTTGACAAAACCCTTATAATTCTACATCTTAAGCCGTATCTTTTCTGGGTTACAAACCCTTCT